AGAAAATCTGCCCCACCGCCACTTTGTCCACCACAAATCCCACTTGACTAGACCCCGGGATCGAACCCGGGCCGCCGCGGTAGGAAGCCAGCGACTGACCCCTTGAGCTATGGCGCGGCCCCTGTATAGCGGTAAAACACTGTGTTTCTATTCGGGAGGCGCTCGACTCGAATCTCGGCTGAGACGCCGGTTATATTATATCATATCCTGGTTTTTGTCAGCACCTTCACACAAATCCGGGGAAAATACTTTAAAATCCTTTGAAATTCATTATTTACAAACCATACTGTGCTTCGACATTTCATATTCTAGATACTGACAGCTTGTTGAAATAAACAACAAAACAAATATTTATAAAGTCTCCATTCGCCCACAGAGAGTATTTGTATGTTTCATACTCTTCTGATAATGAACAGCGATCTTTCTTGTAAGCAGAATTATCCAGTTGGTCTTTGTAATGCAAACGCAGTGTTTTCTTCTGTGTGGCAGGAACTGAATTTTTAAATATTTAAATGAGCTTAATATTTAACCAAATTTGCCTTAATGAATGCCTCACAATCGTATTATCAGAATGCAATGGCGCCCAGTGGAAACCTTACTGACCAGCTTGTCTCTAAAGTCAACTTCCTTAAGCTTTATTTTCTTCACTTTCAAACTTCGTGCCCTTCTCTGAAACGTAACTTTAGCAGGACGAGTCTGAAAAAGTTCAAAGACCAAAATATTTGTTCCCCTTCTAAAATGTGATCTCTCTCTCACTTTCTCTCTTTCTGTCTGCACCTCCCGCCCATTTAACATCTGCAAATGTGCAGATTCAATTTCAAGTTGTGTATTTTTTTTTCACACATATTGCAATAGTCCTGTGATTCTGATCTTTACATGCCTATTGCTAATTAAAGTAATTTAAATAATAGGGCTTCTTGCAGACGGCCGGTGGCACAATATTAATACCAGGTTTCTTGATTATCATCTGTTAGACAAACATGATCTGAAACCGTATTTTGATAAGGACAAACGCGGCTGAAATAACAAGGGAGCGAAGCAGGGCGTGGCGCCATTCATCAGTTCTTCACTTGTGAGTCTTTTTATGGCCCTTTCTTACAGGTAGCAATTCACCTGCAGCTTGTCTGCCCTGCATAGCTTTCAGGGGTATATAAAGGCGTACCAACTCAACGAATCAGAGCAGTAGAGAAGCTAGTAGTGGCTCAGCCAGTCAATCAGAATGCCATTACAGTGTTCACAAGTGCTCGCCATTCCACTGTTACCGTTTGTGGATTATTTTGTCACGCTGTCAGTTGGTAAGCTACATAGTGTCGAACGGTAAGATGATAGATGAATGATGAACTGGAAGGGATGTGGAAGGAAGCGATCGTAGCCTAATCCCGGCATTTGACTGAAGGGACTGAGGAAAACCTCGGCCGGGATAATCGGCTTCCCAGCCGATATTCGAACCGAGAACCCCCCCCCAATATCAGCCTTCATTGTTATCGCTACGCCAACCCCCCCCCCCAATGGTACTATCTTAAGTCATGTTCACGCCCTTATGTCCGACAGAAATGTAAAGTTGTTTTTGAGTTTACTACTTAAGCACAAGCCATGAAGACGTATGGGGGAGTGAAGGTAAAGCTCCAACTTTCATGAACTCGACACTAGATGGAGATGAGTTGTCAGCGTCACGCCCCTTCCGCCCTACCCTCGTGGAAAGAGCCCCCGGTATCCATTTTATAGGAGGTTGGGTGGGCCTCAAATTCGGTCTGAACGCTGTGGAGAAGAGAATCGAACCCGGGCAGTCCAGCCCATAGCCCGTCGCCTTGTAACCCACATAATAGAAATAAATTTTAACATCATCCTCCCGTCTCCCTCCTTGTCTCTAGAGCGGTCACTTCCATTTTCCCGGTTGCATTTTCCTGGGCGTTTTTCATATTTCTTGTGAAAATTCATTCTTGATAAATACAAACCACTCCGTCCAATGTGACATATAAGTTTTTACTACATGAAAACTTATCTCCCTTACATGTTTCGGTCGTTACGGGCCATCTTCAGAGGGAACATCATTACAAAATGGAAACTACCATCACAATAGGTGTTTTGATTTAAAATGCATACACTTATATCCTATAATGCACAGATATGAGTGTATGTATTTTAAATGAAAACACCTATTGTGATGGTAGTTTCCAGTTCGTAATGATGTCCCCTCTGAAGATGGCCCGTAAGGACTGAAACATGTAAGGGAGATAAGTTTTAACGTAATAAAAACTTACATGTCACATTGGACGGAGTGGTTTGTATTTATAATTGTTAGTGTGACGGACCAGAATGAAAGAGATCAAATTCATTCTTGATGTTATCACATTTGATGACGTGTACAAATTATGAAGCTTCTTATTGAGAAGTTTCTGTTATCTGCTCGCATTTAGGACCAGATACTCTCCTCAACACACTTCTGCGTCTGCATTCCTCCATTGCTGCCGAACAGCAGACGCCGTCATACCCAAACGCAAATACAGTGTGTGAGAGTGATTCGGCGATGTGCTGACTTTATGGCTCCAGTGCTCAAGTATCATATTATTTAACGACGCTTCATTTTATGGTTCCTTTATATACCCAGCTTCTTCACCTGCGGTTCCCAGCACCTGGCAAAATGTGAACGGCCTCACGTAAATCATTAATGACTAATCTTGTTATCTTCATAAGCCCAGAGCTGAGCTTAAAAGCTGAATGTGCTTTCAGAGGGGGAGCTTCACTTGTTCACGTCGTGTGCTAGGAATTTTAAATAATAATAAGGCACCCGTACATGTAGGCATATTTTGGAATATTCTAATTCCTATCATTTTGCGAAAGGACATACTGGGAGCGCCAGCTGTCCCATCTGCTGACCTGGTCACGCCATCTGTACGTTGCCATGGCTACGATGTACCAAACAGTTGAACTGCGAAACGCGAGCTGAGCTTCTGTCTAAAAATGTTACTACACGCGACGATGATATCTTCGTGTCCTTACATTGTTGCCAGTCTAGTTTTGTTGCAGTGGAGTTGCGTATGGCTTTGCCAGAAGGGTGCATTGCCACAGTTGTAACATTCTAGACTTGTATTCGGAATGCCCTCTGTTCGAATTCCGGGCGGGACACCGGTTATTCAGATTGGTGTTTTTCATGGTTCTCGTTAGATCCCGGTCTCTTTCTTTTTTCTTGTTGCTTCCACTTGGGGTATAGCGCATCCGTGAAATGCTCTGTTTCATCTCAGCTTCTACATCCGAACACAGTCCGTAGGACTCCTTGGACGGGGGATCAGCCTGTCGCAAGGCCGCTATCTACACAGAATAAACGCACACAGAAATCCATTCATTGAATGGGATTCGAACCCACGAACCCAGTGTTCGAGCGGGCGAAAACAGTTCATGCGTTAGACTGCACGGCCACCGTAATCGCCAAATTCGGGGGTAGTGTCCGATATTACCAGTACCGTTTCCTTCGCAATCCTTTCGAATTCATTTTTCATGTATCATCCTACAATTCGCTGCGTAAACTAACCCATAGGAAAATGTGAGTACGTATTAAATTGAAACGGATATGGATGGAAGTGGTCGTGGCCTAGCTATAGGTTCTCTCCCTGTATTTGCATGGAAGGACTGAGCAAAATCATTATAGCCAGTACCTCAGTTGAGATTCGAAGGAGGCATCCTCTGTATACAAGTCAGAAGGGGCACCGCTTGAGCCATCTTGCTGTCTCATTGCTCCTTACGGTTGTACATTATGCAGCAGGCAACACTGAGCTGAAGAGGCAGGTTTGTCCCTCTCACACTCGCTAGCTCTGAGTTAACACCGGGCGGGTGTCACTTTCGTGCTAGCTAACATAGCCTCACTTTACGCTCCTTCGCTCTTCGTTGGAGCATAAAAGTCGTCGGCCGGCGTCTGAGACTGGACATCTGTAGCCTTCCTGTTTGTTGAGTCCTTTGTAGCAGCCGCTGACCGACTGCGGTGCTGCTGTTGGGTGTGAAACAGAGAGCAAGGGGTACACAGATTCTGAGCTTACGTAACGAATTAGTGTATAAATTTCAGAGACCAAAAGGTGTTCATAGTCGAGGGTTTGAAATGAATGGTACATGTAGCATGAAAGGAAGAGATGATGACGTAAAATGTTTAGGTCGAGAGGAAGAAGGCCACTTAGACGACCCAAACATAGATGAGAGGTACAGATAAAGAGGTGAAGTTGTGTTTGTGCTTAATTAATTAAGCAACAAACCACGAAGACGCATGGAAGTGGAGGTATAGCTGGACACTGGATGAAGGAGAGCAGTCAGCTACACTCCATGGCTCCTTTACCCCCGGTGCCCATTGTATAGAGGGCTGGGTGGGCTCCCGAGTCAGTTTGGGCGCTATGAAGAATGCAAACGTCTGTTGCCCTGGCAGCGAATCGAATATAAATGGGAGATAATATTAAAATAGATGTTAAAGAATCATGGGCAGGACTGGGACAACCGGCCGTTTCTTGTGCACATAGTAATCAAACCTGTTTGCATGAGTGCTGGGAAGTTCTTGACTGGTTTAATCAAGCCCTGGTTCGTCGATCATCTACCCCGTAGCCTGTTCACTGTGCTGACTGAGCTATCCTGACTCCATGATCCTACCATTCGACGCCACATAGCACGAGGAGCTGGCAGCATCGTTAAATAAACAAATAACCGTATCAGAATTAGTTGACCGAGCAGACTGGTGTGCTGGTAACACTCTGCACCCGCATTCGTGGGTCCTCCCTTCGAATCTCTTCACAGTTGTTTTCGTAAGTTCCCTCAGTCCCTCTGGGTAAATTCCGGGACAATAGCTGAATTATGCCACGGGCACTTCCTTGCAAACCCGTCCCAATCATTATTCATGAGTCATCCTACCTTCCGGAAGCTTGTCGTTGCATCCAGGTGAGACGTGGCAGCCCTGTGCTAACCTGCTCAGTGGCGAGGACTGACAGGGAAAGAAAAGGAGCCATTTTACATTTAACCATTTAATCACATATAAGTTCACAAATAAACTACAGATGTCCTCTTCAACATTTCAGAGTGAATAAGTTAAATGCCGTGACAGACAGACGCCTTTATTTCGCAAGACGAAGACAACTTACAGTTTTACTGACTAGGAAACTCTTGGTCTGATGCTACACAGTAGTGTACTTCAGTTTTCTGTCTAACATCCCCGCTACTCACTTTCTCCTGTATTTCTCGATTTATTAATTGGGTTCGAAGCTGGGGAGTATGTCGCGGCGCTTGGAGATCTTCTGTGGGGTCTGCAGCAAAACATATGAGCACAGGTCGGTTTCTGAATCAACTCTAGAGGGGTCCAGCCGGTCGGAGCAGATCCTGGCGCTGTTGGCTTCCAGATGTGGAAATGCATTGCATAGGATGACGTGACTTTCGTTTGTTTTAACCAATATGAATGCCTATATTCGGTGTGGGGGTGAGGAACTCTGTTCGAATCCAGCCACTGATAATGAGGAACTGGTGTTAGCGACGGACGCCACTGTTGGGAGGTGATGCGTCGTTGGTACGAGTCATCTTTTGGGGGATTTTAGTAATAACTTCAACGGTCAACGGACGTGTTTTGCGACATCGGAAATTCGTTATAATAAATTGATGCCAGTAGTGGATAAACTGACGCGAGGGAGAAATCGAGCACACCATTACGTCTCGTCGCTTCTGAGAATTTAGTGATTCACTGTTAGGAGTGTAAACTTGCGAAGTAAAATAAATATATTTATCATCAAATTCAAACTTTGTGGCTTGCCGTATGATGAATGACCGGCGTGTTTCCCCGTTAATGCGACCCTTGAGACAGAGTCAGTCCTGCTGAGTTACCTGTCCTTACCCACACACCCACCCCTCAGTTAACGCTGCCCAAGCAGGAGGTCCAGAAGACTTGGACGGTTCAATTGTAACCACCGTTCTTTAAGGGGATAAATTAATCAGACAACAATTATTAATCATTCTTTGAGAAACCCATTAAAAATAAAATAATGTTCTTTGGGGAAAATAAGGCTGTGTGGAATCTGGCGTGTAATCTGGAAGAGTTTACGGACGTTTCGGAGGAGTGTACTGCCCCTGTTTTGTGTATCAGGCAGCAGGTTCACCCGGAATGTCGGTAAATTTCCACCAGACTACACGGCGTTACTTCATAGTCATCTCCATGAGAGCCTCAACCCTCACACAAGGCCGTGGGGGTTAGAACCCAGTACCAAAGAGAGAGAGGCGACCGATACAGCCCAGACCAGTCACGTGCGGTGTTCGTAGTTGAATGAACTGGCCCTCATATTTCTCATCATAATCCAGATTTACAAGACGTCTTTACGGGCTCGCAATGTTTCATTATTCAGTCCGCTTCTTACCATCCGAGAAGAAGGAACCCGGGCATGTTGCTGCTTTGTTTGTTTGCTGATCGTCGCTTATCGCTAATCACCGACATAGCTATGGGTGAAATAGGAACTCGTGTCCCTCCTTTAGGATATCTAAAATACGTAACTCACACACTGAGACTAACATGTTGACTGAATTACTATACAGAATGTTCTAGAAATGACACAGATTTTGGAATTGTGTTATAAATTTAACTTTCCGTGCTAGCTTATGTTAGTTGCCAAAAATTAACGCTCATTATCATCCCTTCAAAATGTATACACAGAGGATGAAAAGTACAGAACCTGGTCGTCAATAGCGACCGATACATTTTGAGTGCGGCTTCTATCTTACTCGGCGGTCGTGAAGTGGCTTTTGGAGTTCCGGCAATCCCACTCGAGCATTTGCGACAAAAAGAAATGGCGAACCACATCCAAAGAGGTTAATATTTGCATACAAGTAAGGCACAACAATTAAACTCTCTTGTCGAATTCGATTTATTTTCGCCTCCTTGTTGCTGGTTTCTTGCATGGTTTTTATCAGATCCTGAAGATGAAGGCATAGGTTAAGCCGATACATTGATGGAATTCTACCGGACTATACGGCGTTACATCCATTCTTTGCCGTCGTCTAATGCTTGACCTGTGTGTGTTAGGGCAAACGGGACAGCAGCATGAAATAAATCTTAACGTGCCGACAGGAGGCAAACCAAAACAAGACACCAAAAGACAATGATCGAGCTGTTTTGGCGGCAAAAATATTTGTTTGCCTACAGATCTCCACAAGATATCTTACCCCTTTATTTCGTTACTCTGATTTGTGCATTTGCTAGAAACTGCCTCCAAAAAAATTCGGCACGGCACGCACTAAACTTATTTTTAAAGCAGGGTAACTCATAATTTCGTCCGAAACCCCGACAGTAATTTAGAATCACTTTGTGGACCAAATATATGGCTATATGGTTGCTGTGATTATAAATTATTGTCGAGGGTTCTGGAAGGAACTTATGAATTACCCAGTACACTTATAGCGGTTAACCGTACTTATAGGCTTTTAGAAACCGGGTGCTTATTACGTTCGGATAAATACGGTGCTTCATATTAGCCTATGGAATATCTACAAATAGCCAACTTCAACCGCCGACATGTGTGAAGCCTATTCCTTCTACTCATCTTATGAAACACTAAATGCAGTGAAACCGAACGTTTATTTCTGAGCCAGACTTTTCGTGCGTAGCACGGGAAGTGAATCTTCCTGTCAACTGCTTACAGTTCAAACCTAACAGCTCTTAGAGACCCCTCAGAAACGTGCCACGTACTACGTGTTGCAAGTTGCTGTCTGTTTGTGTAGACTTCCTGTCTGCGACATGGATATGGGGACTGTGACGGATGAGGCACAAGACGATGACGAGGAAGCCTCGATGAGGTCGATACAAGAGGCCTCGTGGTCCTGATGAGGCCTCACTGCTGACACCAGGCTGCAAGTGCAGGGCTTGTCTACCAGCAGACCGCATGGGGGCTGGAGGAACATGGTCTGGAGTGACAGGGTCGCTGGCGATGTTGAAGGCTTCTTCGCGATATCAGGTTTCTTCAGAAGTTCCTCTATGGAGTACGGATTGCGCTTCTTCTCTGGCTGCGGCTCCTGTTGCTGTTGTTGCTCCATTTTCTGCTTATTGTCTTTTCTTCTTTCTGGTGTCATCCTAACGTCTTCTTCATCTTCATCACCGTCTTCGCTTTTATCCCTGGAGTCCTCTTCGCTACCCGCGATACTGCTGCTGTTACTGTGTGAGCCTTGGAGGAGATACGAACTGTGGGCTTCAGCAGGTAGCTGGCCGCCAGTGAAGCCTCCCTCTGACATCATAAGAGCCCCGTAGCGAGGGTGGTAGGGCAGGGCGCTGTGGTGGGGTCGACAAGAGATCATGAAATTTGCCCATGGTGACTGGTGATGACTGATGGTGCCTTTGGTGGTAAGTGTGGTGGGTGCTGTCGTGGTGTGAAGTTGGTGCAGGGCGACAAGGCGTCCAGAAGTGGTGCTAGTGTTTGAGGTGTAACTGTGATGCTGCTGGTGGTTCGCGTGGCTAAAACCTTGAGGTAGCTGGGGGTGTGGAGTGAAGAATCCCATTCTTCCTGTCACCAGTGACGCTGTCTTGTGCTGGTAAGTTGAGCCACCAGTGGGAGAACGGAGAGCTGCTTCTGCGAACACAAAACTGCAATTATTTCCCTGCCTAACACTATCTACGATTCATATTGCGAGGTATCCTGTTCGAACCTCGATCAGTCAGTCTCACCAGATGAAATAATACGTCTTGAAATGACTTTAGTACTAAGAGGGCANTGTCAGTAATTCAGTTATGCAGTCAATCAAGCATTAAGTTAGCCTGTCAGTAATTCAGTTATGCAGTCAATCAAGCATTAAGTTAGCCTGTCAGTAATTCAGTTATGCAGTCAATCAAGCATTAAGTTAGCCTGTCAGTAATTTAGTCTGCTATTCATTTTTTAGTCAATCAGCGTACAAGCAGTTAAGTTAACCACTCAGCAAGTCTGTCAGAAATATTATTTTAGTCAGTAACTCAGTAATTCTGCTGATAAGTGAGCCAGTAAATCAGCCTACGAATGAACATTCATCATTCATCCATCAATGTCTCTACAGCCGTTTCTTTGGCCCTTGCCCGCTTTTTCGGCTTCTTAATCCTATACACAGTCTGTAGGACTCATTGCTCGGGGGATCGGCCCTTCACAAGGCCGCTACCTACACACAGAACAACACAAATGCAGAATAAACGCACACAGACATTCATGCCTTGAGTGGGATTCGAACCCACGATCCCAGCTTTTGAGTGGGCGAAAACGGTTTATGCCTTAGACCGCGCGGTCACTGTGATCGGCCTGAGAATGAACACACCCTAAATTAAGTAAAACAGTCAGTTATTCAGTGTTCGGCCAGCCCTTCCGTCCATTGCAGCTCGAACATTCTTTTAACAGGCACACATGTAACTTTAGTGCTCTGATATAAAAAGCACGTCCGCATTATTCATACAAGTTAAAAACTTGATGTATCTCGAAAGAAGACACCTGCTCCAGTCGGCCGGCCGCTATCTGATGCCTCTCCGCGGCCGGTAATGACAGAGATTCTCTTGTCAGTGACGCGCGCTGCGCGTGAGACGGACTGAACGCTCTAGAATAATTAGTTGCACCTAATGTAGCATTCGAATGGACTTTCAGGGGGTCCCGCGCAATCTGAGGCATGAACTGCTTTCGTCCTCTCGAACTCTGGAATAGTGGGTTCGAATGCCACTCGAGACGTGGATCTCTGTGTGCGTATGTAGCGGCCTTGTGGCAAGCTGATCCCCGCCCTAGGAGTCCTACCGACTGTGTATGTGGTTACGAAACTGAAAGAGCGGTCAGGGCACAACAAAGGGCTCTAGCTGATAGGTATGTATAATACAGTCTTGTAAATGCAGGGCTTGGTGTTGCTGTAGAGCGTTTTGCCGATTAAATATGCATGATCTTGGCCTCATACGGCCGAAACCCGTCAGAAATGTGCCCAGAACATAGATTACATGATGGTTAATCAGTAATCCACGAAATGTTGCATTTAAAAGACTGAATTACGTATATAAAGTGCTACAATAATGAAACATGATGCTGAAATAGAATTTTATGAAGAAAGTACAAAAACATGACCCTAGAAACCGCATTGCAGATTTCTGTAAATGTACCAACAGAAGTTTTCTATCGAATGTGTTGAAATGGTGATAAACCATGTGACTTTATTTCTAGAGATATGAGGTCAAACTGATAGAGACATTTTATGGTTTTCCTCACTTGAACACAGACATGGCGCCTTGAATTAGGCCACGACGATTTCCTTTCCTGTACATTCAGTTAAACTTATATAATCACCTTCATGTTTCATTCGGAATTAAATAACACCGGCAGTTGATGCAGTGTAGTTATATAACCTACTTCAAAGAGGTCTTCTTCTCGAAAATGTCAGCCTCTTATAGAATCCAAAGGTTTATTACCATGATCACAACAGCCTACCAATAGATCCTGTATAGAGCCAGTTGAATCCATTTAAATTCATTATCACGTTCTCTGAAGATCCATTTTAATATCAGCTTCCGATGTAAGATTTCTCAAATAGTCTCTTTCTTTAGGTTTTAAAAAAAAAATCTGCATATATTTTTCTTCAAATTTTCTAGAAACACACATCATAATATTTTCAATCTTTATTTTTCAGTATCCACCACGTAACTTCGTTGACTGGTCTCCACGCCTGCTTCACTGGCATTCCAACAAAATGGGGAAGTCACTGCACTGGAGTAACAGGTAGGGAGCGTCCATAATGTTCCTCTGTAAAAGTGTGTTACTGCTCCCACAAATCGGTTGATAGGATGCGTTGCACAAGAACATGGCGTCGCAGCGTGCCGCCAGCTGCGAACCGTGGTANAGTAACAGGTAGGGAGCGTCCATAATATTCCTCTGTAAACGTGTGTTACTGCTCCCACAAATCGGTTGATAGGATGCGTTGAACAAGAACATGGCGTCGCAGCGTGCCGCCAGCTGCGAACCGTGGTAGGTTCACTACTGGGGGGCTTCTTGCTGTGACTTCATTTGAGATCTCATTACAGTGCCAACGTCTGTTAATGTACCGTGGTCACGGATCGCTTGCTAAATTCGGTGTGCCATTTAAATCAATTCTCTCGGTTACTAAACAACAATGAGGCATGAAGAATTGTAACAGGAGTCACGTAACCCAAGGCTATTGTACCATAGAAATGTGCAAGGCAGGGGTGTGAAAGATCTCGCGATGTGGACCCTACCTGACACAAATACTCGTACCTCTGTTTTGTTTTTACTTTTAATACGTATTTACGCAAAATACAATAAATCCTCGTTAATCCGAATTAACTGGGGGGAGGGGTAATCCGGATTAAGCGATAATCCAGCCCTGAAACCTGAGGAAGTATCAATCTGAACCAACTGCGCACTAAAAGAATGCCTGCCATCATGGTGAATGTTTATCTTTCATTTTAATTCGCCCATTCTAATACCTGCGCACCGAACAGGATGGTGTAGTTTCAGTCATATTCGGGAGAAGTATTTTCGAATCTTGGCTAGGACAGCAGTCATCCTGAATGAACTGTTTCGTGGTTTTTCCTCATTCCCTCCAGGTAAATACCGAGCTAGTACTTTACGACAGTTTCTTTCCGGATCCTTTCCAATTCATCGTTCATCTTCATCCTGTTCCAAGACGCTGTATATACAGGGTAACTGATACTCCCTCCGACAACCGCGACAATAATTTAGAATCACAGTACACTTGTAGCCATGTATTTGGTCTACAGCGTGATTCTAAATTATTGTCGGGGTTGCCGGAAGGACTTGTGTGCTACCTTGCAATACATATCTGTGTTTCTCCTTGTGACCGGAGTCTTCTCCCTTGTACAGGATTTGCAGAAACTTTAGTGAGACAATTTGTTCGGCTCCTCGGATGGAGGATCGGACCATAGTGAAGCACACAACACAGCGCTTAAGTGGTTCACCAGAGAGACCCTGTTTTTTTACAGTCACGTAGACCAAATAACGTCGAAACATGAATCATGAAGGATGTTACAGGAAGTTGTCGTGACATAATACGAAGTATTGCCTGGGAATATGTCCACAGGAACCGAAGGAAACGGTGAGGAATTATGAATTATGATATCCGGTCTCCGGGCCGAGATTTGAACACGGGACATACATTTACGAACCAAGAGTGCTTACCGCTCGGCCCGCGATACAAGGATCTGAATTGTCCCAAAGGATGCGCTTAATATATGTCTTGGTCTGCTTGTTCGAGAGAAAACTGTGCAGTCACTCGTGCCCTGGAGGCAAACGAGATGAAGGGTACATGAAGAGAAGACTGAACCTGTGGAATGCTGCGCACTGCTGGGGCCTGGCGGGCAAGGTCCTCCGGAAGCTACCGCTGCAGCCGCGGACACCAGGTCTGCCTCCGTCCACGCGCCGCTGTTTCGGAGGATGCGGTTCACAGAGCTGACGCTGGGGATCGAGTTAGGGTCGCAAATCCTCTGCGCCAGGAGCTGGTCCCTGATCTCCCACGCGAACATGCCAGGGTTCTCCTGCTTGAAGCGCAGAATCTTCTTCACAACCGTGGGCGTGGCCACCTGCTGCAATAAAACAGCAACCTACATTATCGACCACTGCCGGAAATTCTGAAATGTTATCGATCTTATGCTTGTGGGGGAAAAGTGTTTGAGGATGCGTCGTCATCAGATGTTAACATTAGAAATTTGCTGGATTTTCTTTTCGAACACAGCGGGAACTAAGTGTTTACTTTAACAGGGGGAACCAGACANTAAAGTGTTTGAGGATGCATCGTCATCACATGGTGATGTACATCCTTACGTTAACATTAGAAAGTTGCTGGATTTTCTTTTCAAAACACAGCGGGAACTAAGTGTTTTCTTTAACAGGGGGAACCAGACAGTTCCTCAGGTGGCAGCCAGAAAATTTACGAGTACGTTCAGATTTATAATTTCGCCGTCTCCCTCTCTTTAGTGGTCACGCTAGGGTATTCTGGGTAAAAGAATTTTTTTTTTTAATTTTAATTTATGATGTTAATATTAGGTATATTTCCTTCACTCCTATAATTCTTAGTTTTATTTAAATCCATTGTGAGGCAAATGCCTGTCCCCGCCGCCCCAGCAACATACGACATGCCGTACAAGATGTGTCAGACGCACAATTGGAGTTTATATTGTGGCCATTGGCGTTATGATTCCGTATAGTCTCATAGACAGTTATCAGATTTCAGAGGAAATGTACTGGCTCCATCTTCAGACTAAAATTTTGTAACATTCAATCACTGGTCCAGTGATTGAGACTAGCTCTTTCTAAGGGGCCCAACTGAGTAGGTTAAACCTTCCCTATACACCTGAAGACGGAGACAGATCCAGTCTCCGAAACGTTGTGGTTTTTTGTCTTTTTTATATACCGGACGATGGGTGAAGTCCAAAATAAGCCAAAAGAAGTACAGTATACACCATCGTCAGAATCCTTTCAAATTCAGGAACTCCTAAGCTAAAGATAACGGCAACAGGCTAGCCTAGCGGCGAAGCTCGAGACTTCTATTGGAGGGGTGCTGAACTCGAATCTCGACTGGACCTCCGCTCCTTTGCCAATTGTTTTCATTCATTCCGTTTTTCGTCATACTCTCCATATATTCTCGATACTGGACGTGTCGTTAAAGGGAGTCACTAAAGAGAGAAAGTAACCCCCTACCAGGCTAAACGGTGTCATAAGGCTGAAGGCAAAATATCATATGAATCTTAATCGCCGTAAGAACCTCAAATTTCATATTAGGAGCTGCTACAAGCGTAGTTGGTTGAGGTGCTATGCTACAAGACGGAAGGTCGCGGCTTCAAGTCCTGATGAGGTCATTGGATTTTTTCAATTGACCGAATCCTTCCAGCTGCACTTTGGCCCTGGAGTCGACTCAGCCTCTAACAGAAATGAGTACCAGGCATTAATTAAATCATTTTCCTGGGGACTGAAGCGCGTAAGGCTGACAACCTTACCGCCATCTGTGAGCCGATTGTCTAGATAGTGCGGGACCCTCGACGTCTCACGGCCTGGTACAGGGACAGCTTTACTTACTTACTTTTAGACGAGGAGAATAATCAGCGTTAAGCATCAGAAAAATTAAGAAGTTCCGCCTGGTGCAATAAAACAGCAAGCAACATTGCCGATCGCGAAGTGGGAGTTTCGTGTGGTGAAATCTTTATGGCGGACACCTGTAACTGCACTTAACTGAACACTATTTGGTGCAGGTGCTAGGCGATTGAGTGATCTATAAAAGTCACGTCTAGCAACTCTGCTACAATGCGTCTAATTGCTCTGCCCCCCCCCCCCCCAGGCAAATATTTGTTGGGTAAATCCCGTTCTTCTCTTCGGTTGCAACACTGTTG